TCAATGTGCTGACTGGTGTACAATCTGTAAGTCAATGTGCTGACTGGTGTACAATCTATAAGTCAATGTGCTGACTGGTGTACAATCTGTAAGTCAATGTGCTGACTGGTGTACAATCTGTAAGTCAATGTGCTGACTGGTGTACAATCTCTAAGTCAATGTGCTGACTGGTTACAATCTGTAAGTCAATGTGCTGACTGGTGTACAATTTAGTAACCATTTATTGTACACTCTTCTGGCGTGTGCGGAATAAACATCCAGTGATGTTTTCCTCAGTTCCTTAGATCTGATGGCCAACTTCTTTTGAGTCTTCGATTTTCATGAGGTTGTAGTAGTGGTTGAAGAAGTGGGTTGGAGTGATTTTCTAGTTTGTTGAAGTACTTGGTGCTGTTTTCTCGGATGACTTCTGTTACGTAAGGAGTTTTTAGATCTGTATGTAGGGTGCGGTTGGATTCAAACCATGGTGGGTTCGTGATGGTTTGGAGTATTTTGGACTGCGCACGCTGTATAATGGCGATGTTTGAATAGATAATAATGAGATAAATTATCATGTCATATAATTCATGAAATTAAGTTACTAATTTAATGGATTACACTCCTTAGAAGCTAATAGTCGCTTAGAGAGTCAAGAACGTCATCGATTCTTAAGGAATCCGAATATTTATTTTCCTGTTCACGAAACCAAGCTCCGTGGCCTTTAGTCCACAAACGAACTATATCAACCGCTCGACCGCCACTTGTTGGCGAAGCTAGTGCCAACTTTAGTGGATAGAGGGTGTCGCCCGGTCAGCGCAACGAATTCCCACAGCCGTTAATCTCGGTTATATATACCGGAAAACAAGCCTTTATAACCTGATCAAATGAAAACATACCACACCCTATGTCCCTATTTCTTCAGAATCAACTTTAATATTATATTACCATTTAATATTTGGATCATTCGATACTACATGTTGCAAAAATGCATCTATTAGCTTTGCCATGTCTGTCTGTCTGTCTGCCTGCCTGTATAAATGTATCAATTAAAAAATCGTTGAGCGGATATTCACGTAAATCGATATTGGACTATCTTTCGAAAATTTTGATGACATATACCAATTTTTGTTAAAATCGGGCAGAAATATCAGGTGGTTTTAATGGAGCCTGTGAAATTGTGGCACACCTCGAGCATCATTAGCTAAATATGTAATTATCTGATCGAAAACTATTAATAAGAACATAGCAAAAGAATATAAGCCTTATGTTTTGTTTCTAGAATACCCTTGTCGTAAGCCTGAGGGTTGTCGAAATACTGTATTTAAACAAAATTGCATGACACTGAGGACGCAATGAGTACATTTCCCTTGCTCCTTATTTTTTATTAAGTTCATTGCGATTCGCAGTAACAGGAACTTATCTGATTTTACCGGTTCTCACGGTCTCTTTGCTTGCAGATTTCTTATATATTTTTTCTTCTACCCTGAAGATGGAGGCGATACGTTCCTCCGAAACGTCGGTTAACACCACATATACACGGTGCAAAATCCCAGAAGACTGCTTTCTTCATAGTCACCGCCGTGAAAGCCTCAAATCTTACAGGACATTATCTGCTCAAGAATGTCTCAATATATTACGGAATCCCAAGTTTCATTACCGTGTTCACAAGAGCCCGCCACTAGTCTCTGGTCTCCGTCAGATAAATCCATCCCATAATATCCCAACCCATTCTCTATCATCCATTTTAATATTATTCCCTCATCAACCCGTAGATATTCCAAGCGGTCTTCTTCCTTGAGGTTCTCATACTAAAAATCTCTATGTATTCCATATCTCTACCATGTGTGCTACATGCTTCACCCATCTCTTCCTCTTTAACTGACTATTATAATATTACATTAGTGGAAGAATACAAGTAATGGAGCTCCTCATTATGCAGTTTTCTACAGCCACCTCTCATTTCTGCCCTTTTCGGTCCAGATATTCTCCTCAGCACCCTGTTCTCAAACACCCAGTCTGTGTTCTTCCTGAATGCCAAAGACCAATTTTCAGGCCCATACAAAAGTACAGGAAAAATTAAAGTTACATATATTTAAATGTGTACTTTTTTTTGGCGCAGTCGGTATAGCGACTGGCTACGGGCTGGACAACTGAGTGGTCGGAATTCGAGTCCTCGGTAAGGTCAAGAATTGTTTCTTTTCCAAATCGTCCAGACCGGCTCTGGGGTCCACCCAACCTTCTATCTAATGGGTACCGGGGCCTATTACCACGGAGGTAAAGTGGCCGGGGAGTGAAGCTGACCATTCAGTTCCAGTTAGTGCCGAGGTCAAGAAAATGTGGATCTATACATCCACTCACCTATATGCCTTCATGGCGCTGTGCTTAAATATAATTGTTTGGATTGGGAATGTTTGCACTGTTTACTTGTTATTTAGCCCTTTACTTAAAAGCACATTCCAAGTTCTGTGTTTGTGGTTACAATTTACTCGTAAGTAAGCAACTAAAAGAGGCTGGAGTAAGAAAGTAAACGAGAAAGATAGGGAGGAAAGTGTGAAGAATAAGATAAGGCAGGAAGATGTAACTAAGCTCTTGGAGCTGAGCCCCTCTTAAGAAGCTGCCAGTTGTGTAGCTATTTACGAACTTCCAAGAATTTTATGGAAACAGAATGTTAATCGCCCTGTTCACAAGAGCCCTTCACTGATACCTATCCTGAGCCAGATCAATCCAGTCAATACCAACCCATCCTATCTCTCTAAGATCCATTTTAATATTATCCATCCACCTACGTCTTGATCTTTCTAGTGGTCTTTTTCATTCTGGCTTTTCCACAAAAATCCCATACGAATTCCTCTTCGCCCATGTTCATGCTACATGACGTGTTCATCTCATCCTCCTCGACTTCATAATTCTAATTTTAGACAGGAAAATATATGGGATGAAAAGAAGGACGAGGAAAAGAGAAAAAGCCGCGAGAGAGAGAAAGAGGAAACAGACGAAGAGAGAAGAATATTGTTGAACTATGTCGTCTATTATATGTATACAGTGGCCGTCTTGTAGTGCACTCAATTTCACCTGTCACTTCACAACATGTTTCGGCAACATAGTGCCATCATCAGGTGTCCCAATTACGTCAATCTATTGCATTGCTTGCCCTCATATGTTTTCACAACACAATTTAAAAAGTATTTAAAAAGTCCGTATTTGTCAACTATGATAAATTTAACTCGCTAAAACTTGTTAAGATAATTCATCTTATTTGTCTTAATTAAAACTTGCATGTGGTTCGTTCACTACGGGGTCGTTTTTCTTATTTTCTGTGTACACCGCGTCTTGTGATGTGTGTTCCCTTCTTAGCTGCGAGTGTATGTCGTCTACTTTAATGAACAGTGCCATCACTTAATATTAATGTACTGGATTAAATTCCTTTAAATTTAGAAGCGGTATTCCTAAAGACACACTTCACCAAAAATATCTAATCTCAAAATATTATCATTTTTGGAAACACGGTTACATTACACCTTGATACTAAGGATGAAATGGGAGGGCCCCGTCATAGCTCAAGCTGTTAGTCGCTGGCTTCCCACCGCGGCGGCCCGGGTACGAGCCCGTGTCTGGTCAAGTGGGATTTGTGGTGGACAAAGTGGCCCTGGAGCAGGTTTTCTCCGAGTACCTCGGTTTCCCTTACCAATATTCGTTTCACCAATTGTTCCCTAATCATAATCACCCGGGGCAGGCTACAATAGGCCAATCAGTTGCCGCCGTGCCGAGTGGACCCAGTTGGACTCCACCCCCCACTAAGCGAATTTATAAAGAAAAAGACTGAAATGGACTAGATTGATCTGGCTCAGGATAGGGAGTAATGGAGGGCTCTTATTAACTCGGTAAGGAAGCTTCGGGATCCATAAAATTTTGGGAAATTCTTGAGTAGCTGAGTGATGGGGGGGTTCTCAAGGAGGGGCTCAGCTCCATAAAGTTAATTAATTTGTCATCACGTTTGGTGTAGTAAAAATATGAACTGCGGTACTTTCGAGAGAGATTTGTCAGCAGCTGTGGTCGCTGTAGTACAGACTCAAGCATGTCTGCACTGCTGCAATCTTCTGCTTCTATCCGTAACTATCATCGGAAGAGCAAACTTCAGCCTGTTACACATGTAAAGATTGTACGCTGATATGTATGAGCTCTCTGATTCACGTTTAGATCCGCCGACCAGGAACGGAGGTGGTTCTGCTAGTACGTTTCCGTGTTTAAAGGGGCTCATACACGTACAAGTCTGGCTCGCGAGTCCGACTGGGCTCGGGTTCCAATGAACCAAACTCGTCCTTTGTGTGAGTCATCATGCTCATGCGTGTGTGGTGAAATTAATCCGAGCCCGACTCGTACGTGTATTAATTCTTAATATTTGTGTGTGGACTTGATGTGTGTCGGACGCAAAAGAGAGCATTTGGGCCGAAAGAGAGTGAGTAACAGGAGACTAGAGAAATTTCCATAATAAAGAGTTCCATAACTTCTACTCCTCTCGAAATATTATTAGAATAATCGAATGACAACAGAGCGGGAACGCTCTAGTCTCCTATATCGTAGGTTCTTGGTTCGAATCTCAGCTGAAACATCGTCTACCTCGACTGATATATTTCGTCGTTTTCCTTAGTATTTCCCCCAAAAAGGCTAAGATATTACCTCGAATAGGTAACGACCGTTTTTATTTAAATATTTCCCAATTCATTTTTAATATGCCATTCTACCATTATCCGTTATGTAGTCTTGCTAATAACAGCATTGTAAAATAACGCACAAGGGGAAAATAGGATAAAATGGGTTGGGCATGAAGGATATTGTGTCATCCTCCACCGACACCCTGCCCGTCACGAATAGCCTGTGTCACTCAAACACTCGCTCCCGAGAGAAAGCTGAGTCACCGTAGGCATCACGCAGAAGCTGCAATGTCTCTGTGGCTGTCTTGCCAAGCTTCATGCAAAATTTTATGTTAACTCGCTGTTCAAATTAAACGTTCATTCTTCTCACAGCACAAATCCGCAACTGAAGTTGACATGGGTTTTCCGCCGCGCCCTGCCGCCTAGCGGAGGTCGAGCGAACTAACGTCAAGAACACAGGTGAGCCGTAAAATGTCCCGTATTTAGAACACTTTTCCCCGGAATTTCCACCATTTACCTAAGCCGAGATATTAAATCAGTCTCGTAACTTTATGAACAAAGGTTTTATGTAAATGTAGAGGAATTTACTCACTCACTCCTAACTAACTCTGAATAGTGTTCGCTGCTCCTTATTTAGCCTCGGCACGGACAAGACAGAAAACAGTTACGTGATAGGTACCGCTGTTGCCTGACGCCGTGTTTGTCGATAGCCTAGCAACGCTGTCGAGAGTTGTTTACTGCTGCATAGCAACATCTCTCGGGCACGTCACCACGGGAGGGGGAGGGGTGTTCACTGGCCTATTACCGTAGCAACGGCAACGTTCCGAAGGTGTTACGTCACCGCTGGCGGGGGAGAGTGTGTCCTGCACAGCGCAAAAACGTCACAATATTGTTCAGGTATGAAAACGTGAAGAAAATGTCACTAAAACGGAGTCATAGATTGGAGGATACTATAGAAGTGGATCTTAAAAAATGTGAATAAAATGGTATTGAAAATATTTATGTGGCTCAGAAGAGGGGCAATTGGCAGGTAATTGTAAACGCGATAATGGATCTTCTTGTCCGATTCTGAGTAATTATTAAGTATGTGGGCCTCTATTATTTTCCAAAAAAATGACTTATGATGTGTGAAGTTAGTAAGTGCTACTGTGAAATACAGATATACGGCGTAATGAGTTTTGTTGACTCTTAGCCTCCTCACGGACTATACATATTTCTGTTTGTCCTCAAATTTGTGTTAAGAGATTCAGCAAGAACGGACGTTAGTCTTTCAAATTAACGAAGCAAATTAGCTTAGGTGCACTGATGTTTGCGAAAATGAAGACTGGAAAAAGAAAATCACACGCACAAGTGTCTGGGAAGACTTTACTCTCTCATATCTTCGATACAAGGAGCAAAAGTGTGATTATATTCGAGAGAATTTGTGCCAAAAATTAGGTTCCTCATGACTCAAAGCTTTTGAAACACACTATAAGAGGTAAGATTCTTTTGCGTTTTACGAGAATTACAGATGATCGTAGTAATTTATCTGGGTACTAAATCTTATCAAGTGAGTGTCATGTCTCGCATAGAGTGTGTGTATGTTTATACTAACTCTCCTAGGGGTGACTTTTATTTGGATTTTCAGGGCGATTAAATGTACTGTCACTTGTAAGGGGTACGCGTGACGAAATGACGGGTTATAGTTCGGATGATTGGATTTATTAACAGTTTGGTTACACACTCTCTCTTAATTACACTTAAATACACCGCTATCGCTGATTTACATACACTTCATAATCCACGGTTACATGCACACACTAGTCCTCTCCTGATAATGGATCTCAACACAGAAACTAGCGCTTCAAATCATTCTAAATACTGCACATAATTAAGGCCTTCAAATCACACTTTAAATCTTCACAGGTCTTCTACGAACTTCCGGTTCCTGTCAAACTTACTATTACTTGAAAGCACTCAAACACTCTCAAATACTAAAACACGCTCTAACACTCTGAAATACCCCCAAATACTCTCATTTGTTCAAGTCAAAGTCAAAGTCACATTGCGACTGAGGGTCAGTCAGTCAGTAAGTCTTGGTGTCGAGACCCATTTTGGGCTCATGACCAGATATTAATTATAACTGTTTGACAGTTACGGTTTTGTTTCTGTGAGGCGCCTTCTCTGACGAGAGGATGGGTCTATCTTTTGTATATGCTGCTGGCTCTTACCAGCGCAGTCTTTCTCGGGTCCGAGTCCCTTGGGACTCGCGACCATATTTTACTGTCTCAGAATTGAGACTTCCCTTTTCGTCGCCTCCTACGACTCGCAGGGTCACGGTGGAGGTATTCGACCATGCATCCACACGGGGTCTCTCATTTGTTTTGTTTCTAACTGTCGTTATATAGCCTCCGCACCGACCACGCAGAAAACAGCCTATATTGTTGGAAAGTGTTTACCGAGCATCGCATAGCAACGGTCATGGCGCCGACCGCATAGAAAATGCCACACTTCCATTGTTACTTTGCGTGTATTCGGTCGCCTAGCAACGCTGTGTTCATCCACGTTACAGTATATTTCTTTTTTAAACTTAATGAATAGCCGAACAGGTACAGATATTCAAAAAGTAGTCTGTAAGGCTAGAGAATCGAGATTCGATACCAGGTAAAGGCATAGCTTTATTTGCCACCAGCCTTCTCACCAAGGTTACAAGGGGATATTGCCCAGGCGTAAAGCCACGTAAGCCTGCAGCTATCCATTCACCTTCTTCTAACGCCGAGATTAAAAATGTGTGGAACTAACCTCCAATCCTATGGCCGCGCCATAACTCAAGCGGTTAGTCGCTGGCTTCCCACCGCAGCGGCCCAGGTTCGATCCCGGGTCTGGTCAAGTGGGATTTGTGGTGGACAAAGTGGGGCTGGGGCAGGTTTTCTCCGAGTACTTCGGTTTCCCCTGCCAATCTTCATTCCACCAATTGCTCCACAATCACCCTCACCTATCATCTGGGGCTGGCACAATAGGCCAGAAGTGGCTGCAGTACAAGGGACATAGTCCCACCAAACTAGCAATAAAAAACCTCCAGTCCTCTTTATGTCTTCATGGCGTGATGTTTAATTAAACATAAGGACACATTTACCTTCACTTTGCTTTATATAACATGCGTTTGTTGGTGCTTAGGTATTAATCAGTAGCCAAGGTAGCTTAAAAATATTACCGATATATTGTCCGCCATGTTAACGCTGCCAATGATAAATATTTATCAGTAGAAACAGAGCCAGAGACTAACCTTGAAAAGTTTTTGTATGTGTATATTTAATAAAACAAAAAAGTCTAACATCTTCGAAATGGAACAGAACACCTAACGTTCTAAAAACAAACTCAAAAGTCTAACCTTGTGGATTTTTGGAGGAAAATTCTTAGGTTAGGTTTTTGTTTAGTTTTTGCTAGATTAGATTAGGTTTTTGTTTAGTTTCTGTTAGGTTAGGTTTTCGTTTAGTTTTTGCTAGGTTAGGTTAGGTTTTTGTTTAGTTTTTACTAGGTTAGGTTAGGTTTTTTGTTTAGTTTTTGCTAGATTAGATTAGGTTTTTGTTTAGTTTCTGTTAGGTTAGGTTAGGTTTTCGTTTAGTTTTTGCTAAGTTATGTAAGGTTTTTGTTTAGTTTTTACTAGGGTACTTTTAAAGTGCAGTTCATGAAGTACAACTTTAAAGTACTTAGGTGAGTGATCTGAGTTCGGGAATAGGAAGAAGTCTCAGTTACATCCTAGCGTGTGCGCGCGCATCTTCGCCGGAAGTTCCGGGTCTACCCCCTCTTCTTGCGACTTCCATAAACTCAGTGAGCCTCGTCTGTTACGTCTGTAACGGAGTATTGTAGAATTATAACTTGAATAAACCCTTAGTCGCGAGGCAAGGAGGAGCAGTACAGTTCAATCTGCTAAGGAAGTGACGTACAGCTTTTACGTGTGCTGAAAAAGTACGAGTTATGAATAATAAGTAGAGTCCTGTACTCTCAGGCACGAGCTAATGAGCGTGCGAGTAACAACAGAATAATGCATTATTGTACAGGTGTAATAGCAGTAAACTGAGACTAACTTATGTCAATATTGTGACAACTGTAAATAAGTGTTCAAGAACAAGATACAAGTCAAAATCCACAGCGGCAGCCCGGGTTAGATCCCGGGTCTCGTCAAGTGGGATTTGTGGTGGACAAAGTGGCGCTGGGGAAGGTTTTCTCCAAGTACTTTGGTTTCCCCTGCCAATCTTCATTCCACCAATTGCTCCACAATTACCCTCGCCTATCATCTGGGGCTGATACAATAGGCCAGAAGTGGCCGCAGTGCAAGGGACTAAGTCCCACCCCACTAGCAATAAAAAAAAAATACATGTTAAAATAGGTGTCACTAATACAGTTGCAGAAATTGCGAATAAATAATTTAGAAATGAAATTATAAAACTTTATTTTGTCCTATGTAAAATTGAATTTGCATGGAGAGGCTGGGAAAACGTCAAACTCTTCAGGAAATGTAACCGGCTTTAAAATAGAAAGGCGAACACCAGAGATCAAAAAGAAAGAGTTGAGACTGCTCAATCGTGAGATCTCGTATATGAGGTGTCGAGATTAAAGAATATCAATAGCCTGTTACAAAGGCATGAAGAGTGTATGAGGACTCTAAGAAGGCGACGAAAATGGAACCCAGTGGCTGGGGGTATAACTGGGCCACCCTGTTCCTTGGGGGTATAAATACGGGGGCCTGGACCCCCAGTTTGGGGGAGTCTCAACTCTGAGAGAGTGAAATGTAATCATGAATCCAACGAGACTCAGATCTGAGAATGACTGCGCTGGCGAGGCCCAACAGCAATTATAAACGGCAGAACCATCATCTCGTCAGAGACGATATTACGTTAGGACTATGGCCTCAAGTGTTGGGTTGAAAAAGAATGATGGTCGTGAGTCTCAAGGGGTTTGTAGCCAAGACAAAAGTACTGGCGGTAAACCGCCCGTCCTAAAGTAAGTCGGACTCTCAAGGATATGTAGTTGGAAGAGAGCTGTGGTTATGAAGCCTCCATTGCTGATGAAAAGACACTTTAACCTTAACACGCGCATGCGCTTGAGCTTCTATCGAAATTTTATCGTGCTCTATTCTCTGATTAACAGAACTGACCACGCAGATGTAAATATTCAAGGATATGCTCTTATTCATAAAAGAACCACAAGTCGACATTGTCACTTATTAAATGTAATTTCTTACTTTTTCTCTAATTTTATCCTGGTTTCTAAGTTCTGAAGGAGAAGCTAGCCCCTAAAATATGACAAAAAAAAACGGAATTCTCTCATCCGACTAGCAGGGACAAAGGGAGAGCAGTTGAGAGTTCAGAATTAAGAGAATTCAGAACTGAAGACACAGAACAGAAGTGAAAGGAGAGTCCAGGAGACCAATTGTGCAAGATGCAGAAAACAGGGAGTGATTTGGTATCCAGAGGGAGTTGAATGAGTGAATTATCGTAACTGAGTGTAAATATATTAGTAACGTCCAATAAACCCAAAGATCAAAACTAAGAATCCACAATTATTTGTCACGGAACCCCAAACACGTGACGATGTATATTTATTATTATTATTATTGGAGGGGGTGGGTTTCCCCATGCACGTACGTCCCCCTTTGATATTCAACCAGTCGACATACCCTGCCGATACTGGTGCTCGCTATCAGCTCCGTTCAGCAGCAAGGCTGGCAGTGGTACCCGATAACTTCCCCCATCTACCGGAGGCATTGGAAACTACTTGGGCGGGAAATTTTGCCTAATTTTGCTCAGAGGTCTCCTAGAGACATGAGGATCTTTTACGTGCCTCCCTCCCTCCCTGAATTTTTCCGTCCTTAAAAATTCCACGAAATCCGCCGGGTTTGAACCCGCGCACCTTGAGTCATGAGGTGGGAACGTTACCCCTAGACTACGGAGGCCGCTTGTGACGATGTATAACTTTTATTGTTAAAGGCGGAGAAAGCAATAGCACAGGCAAACGTAACCGCCTTCATGTTCCTGAATAATGGTACAAGGTATCCTATTATATTGTATATTGGTATATACAACAGTCGTTATATTTTCAGGTACAATTAAACACAAGTCTCTCATCATGAATAACAAGAGTTCTTCGTCGAAGGAAAGCTTATCTGTGATTAACATGGACAGCCTGAATATGTCTTCCACGTGAGTATATTATCTGTTGCAAAGGACGGACAGGAAATGGAATAGCGTAGTCAGTATAGCAACTGGACGGCAGAGAGGTCAGAGTTCGAGTTCCGGTAGGTTAAAGTCTTCTCTTCTTCAAATCGTCCAAACCGGCTCTGAGGCCAACCCAGCCTCCTATCCAAATGTTACAGATGGCTATTTACCCGGGGTTAAAGCGGCAGAGACGTGAAGCTGACCACTCACCTTCAACTATTGCCGAGGTCAAGAAAATGTGGATCTATACATCCACACCCCCATACGTCTTCATGGCGTAGTGTTTAATTAGTTAAGCACAGGGATAAATTCACGAGTACCTTATGATTAAAATATATTAGGTACTAATTTGTCGCAGTGGAAAGCCTAAGAGATAATTCTATCAGTCCTAAGAGAAGCGTCTAAGTACAAAGTTCCTCAATATATGACTTCCTAAATCCTCTTCTTCCTCATCTTATTTGGATCAAAATGCTTCCCATTTCATGTTCCTCAATGTAACAGACCTTACTTCAGAAGATTGCAAATAACATGTAAGATTTGAGGCTTTCACGGCGGTGAAAATGAAGAAAGCAGACAGTCTGCAGACAGTCTGCTTTTACCGGTTCTCACGGTCTCTCCGCTTGCAGATTTCTTATATTTTTTCTTCTACCCTGAAGATGGAGGCGATACGTTCCTCCGAAACGTCGGTTAACACCACATAAACACGGTGCCAAATCCCAGAAGACTGCTTTCTTCAATGCAAATAACAGTTAATTTTATCTTGTTAAGCCTACGCACATAAGATAGGTTTTCGCGATCATCTTCCTGTATGTGTGCTTGTACGTGTCTGCGTGTCCCGCCCCCATTGGTGCTACGCAACGGCGACTATTCGAGGAGAGGAAGGATCAACCATTCAATGTAGGCGCTCTGACTGAGCAGAGCAGCGGACCTCCCCCCCACCCCCCACCCCGACAATACGACTATCGGGTTCGCCGCCAATCATTTCGTCTTGGTGCCAAGCACCTTGAGAATCACGACCAGTGAATTTTTGCAACTTAACCCTTGAGTTCCTAATCCTTATATAATATCCTCTCTGACGAGAGGATAGGTTTGTCTCTTATGAATAGGTTTCGCCTTTGTCACGTGTACGTATTGCACATATAGCATGTTATTAAAATTCTTCCTTGTGCACTATGTACAAGTCCTACCTCTTTGTTTACTTCTCTTTATTGGCATCAATTAAAGTTTTTGTGTTTTTGTTTATGGTATCTATCTTATCACCCGGTAGATTCATATCATCAGCATAGATCAGCAGCTGATGTGTCCCATTTTAATTTCGGTCCCACCTGGCTTTCCTGGACCTTCCTAATGGCATATTCTAAAGTAAAGTTGAAAAGCAGTGGCGATAAAGCATCTCCTTGTTAAAGGCCATTCTGGATATGAAAATTATCCGACAAATATTTACCTATACAGATTTTACATTGTAAAAGAATTGAATTACTGTTATTTCTATGAACCTTATTATATATTTCAGGACTCAGTTGACAGACAAGAAGAGTGCTTACGACGATGAATATAATCCATTTGAGCATCGGAATATTGAGCACCCCACTTCGTAAGTGTCCTCCTACATTCATGGAATCAAGTATGGAAATGCGTCATGTAAAATTCTCATCTCCTCATAAGGCTTATAATTTAAAGACGAAATATAACTAAAATATAATTAAATTTTCTCTAAAACCTCTCTGATTATACGTCATACCTTCAGTAATCAACATTACGGAAGGGAAGGCCTCCGATTTCGAGATCTTCTGTATAACGAATTCTAATCCCTTCGTACGTTACAAATTCAGGATGATTCTAATTTATTGTAGGGATTTCCGTGGACTATAATTTTCATATCGTAAAAACAAAATAAAA